CTGTACAACAACGTCTGCTGCGAACTGAAGCATTGTAGATATCTTAGTAAGAAGCAACTCATTCACCCGTGTCTGCAGAGCCTATGGCAGTCAGTGACACAGAACCCAAGGTCAATAGAAATTTGCCTACAGCTCGAACCAAATGTAGACGTAAGTACATTAACCAAGAGGTCAGTTAAATCTTCAATTATAATTTATAACTTAAAAAAATACTATATTTAAATATAATTGAAGCACACACTGTAGAGCTACAGGTGTATGATATTTCTTGATATTATAATACTTCTATGTCTATACATATAATAAAATTGTAACTAAGCCGAATCTGTATATTAAATATTTTTTTGGAAAATCTTATTGAAATAGACATTATTATCGATACAGAGGCCGAATCTATAGTTTTTAGAACTGTCTATGTCTGTCTGTCTGTCTGTTTGTGACCGCATAACGAAGAAACCACTGAACAGATTTTGATGAAATTTGGTATGATGATAGCTGGTCATCCGGATCAGCATATAAGATACTTTTTGCTGCGGGAATATATCTCATCTCTGAGAAATCTATATTAAAGTTAAAACGTAACCCTATATAATGCTATGGTAGATCTTAGTGGTGCAGTGACGTCGTTCAGACAGATGGTACCTACTAAAGATTGCAGGTTCAAATTTCTCTCGAAGCGAATGTTAAATGTATAGATGTTTGAACGTGTATGAATAATAGTTGAAACAATCTATCTATGATATAAATAGTATGTGTTTGCTATAGAAAAATTGTACCGGAATTCTTCCAGGCGTTCGGTTATACTTTAGCAAAATAAACCGATATTTAGGCATAAGTTTTGCTTTTAATCCTTTACTGTTTTTAGTAGGAATGTTTGAAGAAATATTTAATATAAAGTCACAATTCCTGCACCACTCAGTACATACGAATAGATAAGCCAAAATAAATAAGCTTTATACAGATGTTAAATAATAATAATTTCGTTGAAGTAATCGTGACATACTTTGTTACTAGACTTCGCGGAAGCGACGCTATCTTTAGTTGGTCTGAGTGTATTCGTAAAAACGTTATGTTGTGTAAATAAATAAACTAAAATATATTTAAATAAGTATAATCTATACTAACATAATTGTAAGAGAGGAAAATTATAAATTGTAGGCTCAACTCTTCGTCAAAATAGAAATCTATACATATAATAAAACTGTAGAGGTCGAATGTCTGTACATAGAAAAAATGCTAAAAACCGAGTAACTGAGTAACGTTGTAAAACGTAATTAAACTTGATTGAGACAAATTTTGTTATTTTTTCAACTATTTTAGTGATCATTTATAGCCTAATTAATGTATATCGATTGGTCTTAGCGGGGATTTATATGATATCACTGTTTAAGTATTTAGCAGAACTCTGCACTTGATCAGATAATAAAATTGCAAGAAGGGACATTACTAATAATGCCGTCATTTTTTATCTTAATCGAGTTCCATAATTGTTTTCTGTACAACAACGTCTGCTGCGAACTGAAGCATTGTAGATATCTTAGTAAGAAGCAACTCATTCACCCGTGTCTACAGAGCCTATGGCAGTCAGTGACACAGAACCCAAGGTCAATAGAAATTTGCCTACAGCTCGAACCAAATGTAGACGTAAGTACATTAACCAAGAGGTCAGTTAAATCTTCAATTATAATTTATAACTTAAAAAAATACTATATTTAAATATAATTGAAGCACACACTGTAGAGCTACAGGTGTATGATATTTCTTGATATTATAATACTTCTATGTCTATACATATAATAAAATTCTAACTAAGCCGAATCTGTTTATTAAATATTTTTTTGGAAAATCTTATTGAAATAGACATTATTATCGATACAGAGGCCGAATCTATAGTTTTTAGAACTGTCTATGTCTGTCTGTCTGTTTGTGACCGCATAGCGAAAAAACCACTGAACAGATTTTGATGAAATTTGGTATGATGATAGCTGGTTATCCGGATCAGCATATAAGATACTTTTTGCTGCGGGAATATTTCATTTCTGAGAAATCTATATTAAAGTTAAAACGTAACTCTATATAATGCTATGGTACATCTTAGTGGTGCAGTGACGTCGTTCAGACAGATGGTACCTACTAAAGATTGCAGGTTCAAATTTCTCTCGAAGTGAATGTTAGATGTGTAGATGTTTGAACGTGTATGAATAATAGTTGAAACAATCTACCTATAATATAAATAATATGTATTTGCTATAGAAAAATTGTACCGGAATTCTTCCAGGCGTTTGGTTATACTTTAGCAAAATAAACCGATATTTAGGCATAAGTTTTGCTTTTAATCCTTTACTGTTTTTAGTAGGAATGTTTGAAGAAATATTTAATATAAAGTCACAATTCCTGCACCACTCATACGAATAGATAAGCCAAAATAAATAAGCTTTATACAGAAGTTAAATAATAATAATTTCGTTGAAGTAATCGTGACATACTTTGTTACTAGACTTCGCGGAAGCGACGCTATCTTTAGTTGGTCTGAGTGTATTCGTAAAAACGTTATGTTGTGTAAATAAATAAACTAAAATATATTTAAATAAGTATAATCTATACTAACATAATTGTAAGAGGGGAAAATTATAAAGAGTAAGCTCATGTATTTACTCTTCGTCAAAATAGAAATCTATACATATAATAAAACTGTAGAGGTCGAATGTCTGTACATAGAAAAAATGCTAAAAACCGAGTCAGGGGAATATAAGAAGTGAAATAGAGCAAAAACTAGATTTTCTTCAAATTTTTTGTTTCTCTGTCTGTTTATCTGTTTGTACGGACTAATCTCCAAAACTGTTGGACTGATTTAAATGAATTTTTGCATGGTGTCCCCTTACATCCCCGGTCACCATTTTAGATACTTTTTATTACGGAAAATTAAAGAGTTCCCGTGGGTTAGTTAAAAAACTATAGTAACTTATACAGCTTAGTACACAACAACTTACGCACCTAATTTCTAATGCTTTACAGTAAACATGGTCACGGGTAAAATAAAGGTTTCTGGTTTCTCAATCGCTCTAGCTGTGGCGGAGAAGAAGTGCAAACACTCACACACCGGAATATCATGTGATACCTTCCTCAAGGACGTACATACAGACGCTCTTTAAATTATATTAAAGATTCAAAAGTGCTTATTATTATAAAGTCTAATTAATTAAAGTTTCATTTCAATTTAAAAAAAATATTAATGAATTTTAAGGTCCAATTTTTTTCGGCAAGCAGAGCTGCGGGCAAAAGATAGTACAATATAATAAAATAAAATAAGGATGTGTTATCTCTCTAATGTGTGTGTGTGGTAGGTGGTAAAGATACAAGTCGGAAATTTTTATTTTAGATGTTCACTTGTTACGTCTACAACAATAGCTGAGAATGCATCTAAAGAAAACAAAATATTTGAATATTTAGTATAATAAGCGACTTTCATGTTTATCTGTTCGTAGTTACAGTACTAGACTGGGTATTGTCGGCGGCTGCGGCCGTGTATTTTTATTCTGCTCTACACAGAACATTCGAAACGTCAGGAACCAAAAACTAAAATAAATTCGCGAAAACATTCGAAAAGATTCTTTGAATGAAACTAGTCTAATTTAAAAAAGGCAGTGGTAGCCCAGTGGTAATGCGCTCGCTTTGGAAGTCGAGTGAAGTGGGTTCAAGTCCGGGGCTCGCACCTCTTATATTTTCATGTCCTAATCATTTCCAACATGATTACCACTTGTCTTACGGTGAAGAAAAACATCGTGAGGAAATCTGCACGTCTGAAAAAACCTAACAGACTACCTACCAGAAAGTCCACCAACCCGCACTTCGCCAGCGTAGTGGACTTATCCCTCTCGTATTGAAGGGTGGCCCACTCCCAGCAGTGGTACGTTAAAAAAAGGGCTAAATACAATTCTATATTATACAGCTTTATACAGGAGAGTACAGAATGTAGAGCTCTACTCTCTCTCTCTCTCTCTCTCTAGCTCTACCTTAGATTAGTCTCTACCAATCGCTACAAATGCTAACGAAAAATGTAATACCACCAAGGTTCCGTTTGAATGTGTAATATTAATCCTTCACTCGATGAAGTAAAAATAGAAGGAATTCTAAGAAAATATACTTGTTTCTGGATTCCCCTTAAATTCTTACTTTTTGTTTTTTTTATTCTTGTTAATATATATTTTGACGACACGTTTGGCTCAGTTTCTAGTGACCCTACTTGCTGTGCCAGCGGTCGCGGGTTCGAGTCCCGCTCGGGGCATTCATTTGTGTGATGAGCACGAATGTTTGTACTCCAGTCATGAGTGTTTGTATTTATAATGTGTATGTATTTAAAGTTATATATATGTAGTGTATTAACCATCTGGTATCCATAACACAAGCTTTGTGCTTACCATGGGACTAGATGGTGCCGTGTGTTAATGTCCCAAGATACTTATTTATTATCTATATGATTGAAAGGAGGTACCTCTTTAAAGGAGCGCACAGACTGCAGCCATAAAGTTTCTTGAAGTAAGATTGGTTGAAGACAAAAATAACATTGGAAACAATTGAAATGTTCCCAAGTTTACATCTGAGAAACAGACCTGGATACAAATTGTACCAAAACCCGAGCGGAGCGAGGGTGAATCGCTAGTCTTGTCTTGTACGCTTGTTTTTTTAAGTTTTTTTTATTATTATTTATATTTCTTTTTAATTATTATAATTTCATTGATCCTTGAAAAATGTGCAATGTTTTAGTTCAATCTGAGGTTTTAAAGTAAGTGAAAATCGCATTCAAAGTTTCCATTACATAGATACAGATGAAGCTAATAAAAGCGTGTCAAAAAATAAAAAAAAAACACTGAGAAGGTATACAATGGATCTTACAAAACTACGAGTACTTTATGGTTCCTTCGTCGTTTTTCTCTTCAATAACTACAACTTGTGTAGTACAAGTTCGATATAAAATCCTATGTGTGGGTGAAACTAGCATAATGTCATGGTACGGAACCCTCGGCTCGCGAGTCTGGCTCGTACGTGACGGGTTCGACACGTTTGCCCAACGATGGGCCTGCGACTACACGACTAGTGGGCGGAGACGACTACAAGATACTCAAGTTCAAGCGGCTATCAGTACTGATAAGACGCGATGGAACGACGTAGCCGGCACTTGCTGTTTGTTACGTATATGTATGTATGTGTGTATACTGTATGTACTTGTACACTCTAAACTTAATTGTATTAGCGCATGTTTGGCTGGGCTCGTTGCGATGGCGCCTCGTATAATTGACTGACTTAAAATTAATTATATATTACAAGAGACTCGCTTCGCTCTGGTACGTCCCATACCTAACATTTGACATCTGTTGACAAACAGAAGAGAAAAAAGGGCTGAGCTGTTCTAGTCTTTTGTAAAAAATAATCAATTTTTGTACGTGAATCATCTAATAAATAAAATTTTAGATATATGGTACATACTCCTGCAAAAGTTTCTATCGAAGTACTGTCAACACGCGATAGATGGCGCTTGAGTTATATCGGAGATATGGAGATTTCAAAAATGGAAGAAATTATATAGCTGTATGCATGTATGTATGTATATGTTTATTTATATACATATGTATGTTCATATATGTGTATGTGTCTCGGACTAAAAGACTAAAATGTACGGCCCTTATGCTACCAACATTAAGTGGCAAAAAATGACAATTTTGTACTATATTTTTGAATAAGAAAAAATAAGAAGTTTGAATTGAGTGTAACATCAAAAATCTTAACGCAATGTTTCACCGCAATCGTATAGTTAATATAGAAGGTATACGTACAAACAATTTTTTATACACAGGTAATATAGAAGATACCTAAACGCTACAATATAACGACCGAGCAATATGGCTGAATAAATACCTTGCAAAATCTAAATTAGAACTAACATATTACGTACAAGTGAAAAAGAGACAATATAAAAAGTGAGCCGCGTTTAAAATAACTTTAAAAGTTATTATTGAACCTTTAAGAACAAAATTTTCTCTTGTAATTTATATTGGGTTTATAATTTACAAAGACATTGTGTAGTGTGTGACTAAACACAGATAAAAAAACATAGGTACATATAGACAGAGCTACTTTATAATTGGGCAAAAATTGACTACCTAAAACATCACTGTGATGACGCTAGTGTGCCACAAGTCAATATTTTAGGCCCACTTATGTAGCTATCATACAGCACGTGCACCGCCTAGACTCTAGACTAAATCGATGTCTACAGACAGTTACCACGCAATCTGACCTTTCAGGACAAAATATATTAAAGTTCGTTAATATCTAAATATACACATAATATTAAAACTAGCGACTCGCTCCGGGTTTGTTTATTTTTGTTTGTTTTTTTTTGTCTCAAAAGGTATAAAAGGAACCCTTATAATATCACTCTCTTGTCCGTCTGTTCGTCTATCCATCTGTCTGTCCTTGTGTCACCACCGATTTTCTCAAGAAAGGGTAGACCTAGCAAGTTGAAATTTATACCAGTCCCTATTAAGTATTTAGTGATTAAAAATGAAGGTCCTGAGGTAACACGATAAAAAGCTATGGGCAAATTTAGATTTTCGCGAAATCTTGTCAATATTAAAATTTACCTTAGTTTTAAACTTTTTTATTTTTCTGAATTTTTCCTTTATAATATTACTGAAGAGACAATATTTTCCGACTTAATACACAAACATCATCATAGCGGTAGCTTCTATTCGCTATATTATATTTATATTAATAAATTAACCTATAAGTTTCCTGGATAATTCCTCAATCTATTGGTGATAACCATATGAAAATACGTGCAATACCTAGTTTAGTTTATTGTCAAAAAACAACACAACTAAACACTTGTTATATTTGAACAAAAATAAATTCAGCGCGGCAGAAAATTTGTAATATTTATTATTAGTATAATGGAACCTTGATAATGAGATCCTTTTGTTGTTGTATAGATGTCTGATGGATGGTAGTATATTATATATTTTTAAGCTGTAGCTAGCTATAAACTATTTCTCCAAGAATTCACGAAGTCCATGGTCACCCTACTAGGCTACCTGCGCAATCTGAAGCTTTGAAAATCAATAAGTCCTGGATGTTACACGATAGTTCATTGTTAGCATAATCGTTAGTTACTTCTACTGGGGGTAGGGGGGTAGGGGGGCCGAAGTTAGGGGTAAATGTGTTACTTACCTCTCACTAAGGAAATATAAGAGAGAGTTACCAAAATTTTATCTAAATTTTGGTAACTCTCTCTTATAGGGGCAGAGAAAGAGAACAAGAAAACTATTCTGATGTATAACTCTTTTCTATTGTAGAGAAAATTTGGAAGTAACAAATACTGCCCTTTTTAGGGTTTCTGGTGGTTGGTGGGCTGGTTATAAGATCACTTTTTTATCCGTCTGTGCGTTTGTCTGTCTGTATGTCACCACCCATTTTTCTCAGGGTGAACTTAACAAGTTGAAATTTGTACCAGATACTGAAGTCTATAGTCCCTATTAGGTGTATAAAAATCAAGATGCTGAGTCAACACGATAAAAAGATATGGGTAAATTTAGATTTTCGCGAAAACTTGTAAGTACCAAAATTTACCTTAATTTTCAACTTTTGTTTATTTTTCGGAATTTACCCTTTACTTGTGCCGTAGCCTGTAAGACGTTGCTTTTAACCAAAATGACAATGACAATTCTAGGTCAACCGGAAGTACCCTATAGATTTTGGGTCGAAAATCTATATGGTAGTCCCCGTTGACCTACAATCACGAAATTTGGCAAAAATCAAGGTCTTACAGCACAAATGTAGGAAAAAATCCAAAAAAATAAAAATAATTGAAAATTAAAGTTAAACAGATTTCCTACAAATTTGTACGGAACCCTCGGTGGGCGAGTCCGACTGGCATTTGTCCGGATTTTTTTTATATTTATTAACTTATACGAGCCTTGAACCTGCTACCACTGACGTAGTAAGTAAGACAATTTTTAATTATTAACTAATTATGATGTGAATAGTCCATGAGTCGAGTGACGTAAATCACTTTTCATAAAAAATATATTTTATAACCTGCAAAACAAGTGACTTTCTATCTAATCCATAAGATTTTTTTGTACTTTTATAATAAACTAGCGACACACCCTCGCTTCGCTCGCGTTCTTCTCTCGAACGCTTAGTACGGATTTCTCAGAGATGAGATATTATCCTATATGTTGATCCGGATAACCAGCTATCATATACCAAATTACATCAAGATCTGTCCAGTAGTTTTCTCGTGATGCGTTCCCAGACAGATAAACAGACAAAAATAATAATGAGTATTTCAATAAGATTTTCCAAAAAATATTTAATGTACAGATTCGACTCAGATACAAACTTATTATTATGTATATAGACATAGCGCATAGTAATTTAATATTTATTTAATATTTATTGAAATTAGTAGGTACATATTTGAATTTGTCCTGACTCTATACTCCAATAAATTCATTAATGATCTTTAAAGTTTAAGGTAATGTAAAAATTTTATAAACACCTCTTTCAGTTTTATCCGAAGTCTCCCATTTTGTGTGCAATTTTTCCCATTTTCCCCAAAAAACCTTACTATATAAATTGTAAATCGGTCGATCAGTGCGCGTGCCAACAAGCAACATTTCCTTTTTATTATATACTAGCGACTCACCCTCACTTCGCTTAGGTTCGTCCCTAAGTTGATTCCCTAAACAAATTTTCATCGCCATTTTCAACCTTTTAAAGGACGATTTCCGGGATAAAAAGTATCCCAGGGTCTCAAACTATCTTCTTACCAAATTTTATCTAAATTGATTCAGTAGATCCAGATATTACCCCCTACAACGTCACAAACTCACAAACTTTATCTCTTCATAAAATTATAGTATGGATAGATATTAAAAAAATTAAAAAACGTACTTAAATGAAAAGAACCCAAAAGACTTACTATACTCGACGTTAGCAGGCTATAACTACTAACCCTGTCTTCACTCGGGTATGCTAGGTAGTAGGTAACCTATGTGTTACTCCAGGATACAGTCTATCCGTGAGCTAAACGTAATCCAAACCTGTCTAGTCTTTCAACGTACATACATACATTCGCATTTACAGTACTATTCCAATAATAAGTAGAAGACAGAATCAAAGTAGGAAATACATAAGGTGAAGATACCAATAAACATACATCCAATTATCTAAATGTTCTCCTTCTATTTTAAAGTCGGTTAAATAATATACTTTGAGTGTGGTATAAGGGTTATGCTAGTTATCCAATTTACAGAACAAAAAAAGTTACAGGAAAATTATAATATAACTATCTATAAGTACCTTTATTATAAACTCTACATTTCTATGTAATTTCTATGAATCACGAAGATGAAATAATAACGTAATCTATACTAATATTATAAAAAGGCAGAGTTTGTTTGTGTGTTTGAACGCGCTAATCTTAGGAACTACTCGTACTAATCTGTTTTGAAAGAATCTTTTTGCATTAGATTATTTTGTCTCGTAGATAGAAGATACTCGTACTATACACAAAAAATACGTTTAAATAATATCTGAAGAAATACATATATTCTCTCAAGCTACACGTGGATTATTTAAAGTTACCAGTCTACGTCTACTGCTTGAAATGCGACCATAATCATTATTGAAAATTTCAGGAAATCGTACCATATGAATAGAATTTACCTATCTATATACAAAAACTGTCTGTTTCTAAATCTTTTTATTGGTAACACTAAAGCTCTCCGATAGTTTCTTAAGAAAAAATTTAAAATCTTTGTCGACTGACAGATGAGAAATACTACTGAATTTTATCGTCTTCGTCTATTTATTTATATATTCTATGATTGTGTTTAGATGGTCTTTACATTAGATAGTGCATGTTGGGTGGAGGTCCTCTACCAATCGAGTCCACTTTACACGTTGATACTTACGACGAAATATGTACCTTATCCTGGACTCGAACTTGCAGTAATTATCGCATTTAAGACATTTAAATATGTAATTGAGACACGCCTTATTGCATATAGCTTTTAATGCAATATTTTATATAGACGGCGTGTTAGTTGTTACTATGCGTATTGAGCGACGCGTCTTTACTTTGCTGTTTTCAAAAGTCGACTCTATATATGGAAGGTAGAGTTTAAAGTTAATCGTTACGAATTTTAACCGTGTATGTGAGAGTGTTGCGCCTGTGTGCGCGCCCTGCGTCGATGCAGTAAGCCCTAGGTCAGTACTCCGATGCACTCGAGTCAGTGCATTCGCGTCGTCGCAATCAAAAATCAAAAATCACACAAAACCTAACCAGGAAAACGTTAAAAGTGCCCAAAAACACAACCCCCAAACAAATTTTCATCGAAAATTGTGCAAAAACGGCGCCGCCATGTTGAAAGGTGAGTACTTTCCAATTTTTGAATTCGGAACACAGCGCCATTTTGAAAATTGTCTTTGTTCGTTAAACATCTGTCGTTTCACTTCTTTTTGTTTAATTTATTAATAGATTAATTGAATTAATGAAACCAATAATAACGAGGTTTGCTATAGATCAATATGTCGACACGTACGCCCTCCATTGTCTGTCACAGGTCAGAACTGTTTTACATTTCTTCACAAAACATATAAAATTCTAGAAATTTGAAAATTATTTTGCATTTCCAAGCAAAAATGGGGGGTTTCTGCATAAAATTAATGTTATTACGTCATTCATATAAGATGTACGCCATTTTGAAAACGAGTCCGCGCCCTCACGCCGTTTACTTGTATATAAGATTATATACGTTTATATTATTTATACAAAATTATGTAATTTTTACAAAAAAATGATAAAATTTGTACAATAATACTTCCTGCTGAGCTAATCTTTGCTTGGAATTCATTTTTTGATAAAACCACACGTCTCTACAATTACAATATATACAGTAATTATAAATTTATATCAAAAAAGTGTATCTGAAAAGACATTGAACATTCTGAAAGCTCAAAAATAAAAGTAAATACATATTAACAACCTTACTCTATCTTTTATTACCGCTTGAAAAATATAGATAAAGAGTCAAGTGGCACTTTCTAAGAAAAACATCGTCTTCTTCACGCACTTAATTTAATTATTAATATATGTAGGACTCTTCTAGTAAAATATTGTAAGAATATAAAATAATTGCTGCGATTCATTTTGCGATGGAAATTAAATTTCAAAATTAGTAAGAATTCTATGCAAAAACTCTACGTAGAATGCAACCACAATATTTTGAGTGATAACTTCCTGCATACAAAATAAGCTTTTAAAAAAACCCTAATTTAATCAAACAACATTTCACATTATATTATACAATATTAAAGAGAAATTCTATAAAAAAATGGATATTTGACATGTTGAAAGATAATGCCTCTGAGACTGAGAAAAATAACAACTATTTTTTTCAAAGTGATAGAATTGATCACGTAATTTTAGCAACTTTTAATATAAAACTTCCTAATGTTTCTAGAAAAAATATTAATATTTCGTATATACATACAATATACATTTATATGAAACAATACGCAAAGTGTCACGCTACATAAAATGATAGAGCAGAATTTTGTTAGTTAAATTTAAAAAACAACGTATTCGTGAAAGGTCTTTAGTATGTCGTTTAAATAAGACGAAATAGTAAGAGAAGAAGATAATTTTTATATTTCTAAACTCTATTAATAACTTCAACTTATCTGGTAAATTCTAAATGGAATACCTACATTTTATTTGAAGAACAATTTAAACTCAAATTTAATTAAATCCAAGCAATCGTGTTTACATTTTCTTCATTCTTACGTTAAAACTGATCTGTAAAGATGTAGAGTCGTCTATTTAAGAAATAGGTATGTTATAAGGATTATTTAAATTGTAAAAAACCACAAAGTTTCATTTTTAAATTAATTTTATGTCTAAATATTAAACAAAAGAGCACTAAATATCAGAGACAAATTAAAAGAACATTTAGAACAAATCAGCTAAAGTTTTCAATTTAGCAAGACTAGCGAATCACTCTCGCTTCACTCGGGTTCAGCCTTAGGTACATTTTAATGGCTGGGATGAAGTAGATAGACTATATATTATATATAATATTAGTATATATACATAGGTATGATGAGTTTTATATCCCTTACTTGAGAAATGATTGATTCCCCATACAAACTTTCATCCTCCTTTTCGCCCCATTACGAGAAGATTTCCAGGATAAAAACTATCCTGTGTCTTTCACAGGGTCTCAAACTATCTTCATACTAAATGTCATCTAAATCAGTACAGCGGATTTTTAGTTTATCCATTACAAACTAAAATACAACTTTTTCTCTTTAGTGTTAGTATAGACTATATTAATGCGCCCAAAGCACTATTATAATAAAATTATGTAATAAATTACTCTGTTATACAATATTGTAGAACATTAACATAAATAAAAACGACAACTTCACATTTTTGCTCATTGTTGATATTTAATGATTTCATGACTTAATTTAAATGTTCGATTAAAAGTTATGAATTTTCAATCTTAATGTTATAATATTATGTTATATTGTTGATAATAATGAAATATTCTATGAAATGTATCAAATTTGTAAACACAAAAGTGTAAATAAGTCCAAAATAGGTTTTAGATGTAGAGTAAAGTAAAAACTCAAGTAGCTATATATTTAAAAAAAACATAATATTGGCTGGTAGATGAAAAAAAGAGTTTCAGAAAAAGTATAATAATAATAAATAGTATTAAAATGTAATCTATAATATTGAATCTGCGTCCAGATGTCAAAGGTCAATGCACCGCGATATCGCATGTAAAGTGCAGTTACTGGCGACTGTATACATATATATAGATATTATAATAATACTTTTTTTATATAATATGTATAAAAACAATGAAATTATTTAAACTTCAAATTACACAAACATATATATATATATATATCATATATATATATATATATATATATATATATATAGTAGAGCAACACTTTCATGCATATAGAGCATAGAGATTGACACAAAATCTATATTTAATATATAAGTATACATGTTAATGAGTGGGTACAACAAAGTCTGAGTTTATTCATTAGTTGAATTATTTGTTCATGGAAAGGCGTAGAGCTGGTAATTAAAATATTCACTTTCATAATAGAAAGGAAAATACTTTAAAATACCGAAGTTTTTTTTTAAATTGTACTAAACCTGATTTTTTTTTTTTTTTTTAACGTTGGGAAATGCATTTACGCACGACGTGTGGGACTCACCGGCGTAATACAGCCAGTACTACCCACTAAAACCCAACAAAACCTTCCCCCGTCTTAATGGGGCGTCGCAGGATCGCTTACGCATTCAACTACGACGCCCCGACGGCAGGTCTGCCGAAGCAGACCACCACAACCATGGGGTTGCTCCACAGTCCACTCTGCTATCAGAGAAGTACCAGGAGCAACCCGCATGGCACACCGCCCTCCGAAGAGGACCACCACCCACCGCCCACCGAAGTGGGCAACCTCCCTGTGCGTTTCTTAGCTTCGCGCCCGGTTGGATTGCCGGGCACTACTGAGCCCCCCCACCACGACAAGGTGAACGCACGTTGGGGGGGATACTCAACCTGATGTCGCTATCGCCGCATATATCCACTCTAAATTTTTAATATCTATTCACTAGACTAAGATGATTATAACCTTTTAACATAAAGTAAGAATTGTCGAAATGTTTATATATGGACTGAATAAAAAACTTAACTTTATTTACTCAGTTGCAGACAACGCTCTAACGATTTGCTAAGCTTTAAATGCTGGTTTTAGAAATATGAAATGTCCAAGATTTTTAAGTGTAATATTATAACAAGCTGAGTACCAAAAAAGATTTTGTTAGAATATATCCCATATGAAATAAAATTGGAGATATTTTTAGGGAAACTAGTATTTTTTGAAGAAACAAATGTTAATTCTCTATCGAGACTCTATATTTTTACATAAAAAAGCCATTACAAAAATATTCGTGTTTTTGCGAGATGCACGTCAAGTTGCGACGTACTCGTACTATTTAATCACAAGTGTACTATATAGATTACTTTCAACTGTCTACTGCAAGCGAGTTCCAAGATCATTTATCCGACCTGTTCTAGGGAACTTTCTACATGTCTGATTGCAAATATTTTATATCTAAAAGGGCTCTGCTGTAAGTTTTTCTTGTGAACATGGAGTTTTAGATTTTTAAATCATGAAGTACATATATTTTTTATACTATATTGCCTTGCAAACATTTTCTTCTACATTTATAGTTGGCTGGCAGATATTTAGATTTTTTTAGATTCGTCCTTTCTAAACATTTCTTACTAGGATTAAGACACTATTTTCTAACTGATGCCTGGTGGTATAGTTTTTGGCTTACACTAAAGGGTATACTTAAAAATGAAATATGCATTTCCATAGAAATTTTTTTTATATAGATATTTCTTTACAGTATTTTGATTGACGAGAAAGAAAAATCAAACTCTCACCTAATATTAATCATTTTGTAGCTAACTTAACAACTAAAACACGAAAAATTCTAAGTATGAATCCCTAAAATCTAATCATTTTTACAATTTTACAAACAATTAAGAAACTATCAATTAAAATTATACAATAACTTAACAAAAAGTAAAATAAGTCCTACCAACACAATTATATTGGAAAAAATTGACACTCAGTACGGCACAGCCTACGCTGCACTGACTCACCTCACGTAGTTCACGTGCATGGTCACGTGCTAGTACTAACCTATATCTGATCAGAAATAAACCATCATTCTCATCAGAAATTTCTCGAGTATATTATGTAACTAGTGACTTACCCCTACTTTGCTCTTTTATACTTATCTATACATATAATAAAATTGTAACTAAGCCGAATCTGTACATTAAATATTTTTTGGAAAATCTTATTGAAATAGACATTATTATCGATACAGAGGCCGAATCTATAGTTTTTAGAATTTTTGTCTGTCTGTTCCGGCATCACAGAAAAACCACTGGAGGGATTTTGATGATATTTGGTATGGTGATAGCTGATTATCTGGGTCAACACATAGGATACTTTTTACTGCGGGAAAATATCTCATTTCTGAGAAAAAATACAAAAACTGCATTGTAAAAGTATACTAATATGTAATATCTAAGAATTTGGATTTTGGTCATCTGAACGCGGACGGAGCCGCGGACTATGCTAGTAAAATATAATAATGTATCTTTTGGCAAATGATCAGTCACAGTCTATCTGTGGTACTAAGGTGCTAAGGCAAGGTGAGGCGTCCAGCCTTTCAGAAGCAACAAACATAAACGTATAGAAATTTTTGCATGTATAGCGCTGTGATTTTAATTTTTAATGCGCTTGTTTTAATTTTTCT